AGGCCTATAGGAACTCTGGGTATGTAGCAAGCATTCTTTCCTAAGCACCATTAATTATAACTTTTCTAAAGAGAGCAGAACAATGGCACTCTTCAGAGGGGCATGAAGAGAGACTTGTGGTACTGGTTATCCATCACCTAATTTTCATTGAATTCCTGGACAGGAAGATCCTGCTAGTTTAACATGGAACCTTTGTTCATGGGGCCACCACAGCCCTGGGATTGGCCATGGAGTCCCCAGGTCATCCTCATTTTCCTGTTTCACACCATGCTTTTAGGTAAGGTATGAATTTCCTAGTTCTGCTAGAACAAAAACAACTTCCGGAAACTGAAAGCATAGGCCTGGTAAGTCTCAGGAGGGGCTGGCTTTTCCCAGCATACAAAGTCCACTGGGAAGTCTGAGGGAACCCAGTGTGGCCCTCTGACCTTGCCCAACAAGCAGAAAGCAACACAGAAGTGTGCATGTCTCCTTAGAGACCCTGCTGTATTTAGTACTCACAGTGGACCAGGCAGTGTTTGCAGGCAAGGTTGTATTTGAGTGCTTTGTTAAGATCGAGTGAAATCTTTGCAAAGCTTTGGGGAAAGTGGCTTCATTTTTCTCCCCTCCTGGAGTCCCTTTTAGAGAGTTAACAATAACATACATAAATCAAATCAAAGGCTAAAAAGTTGTAAAAAGTCCAAGGCTTGGTCCAGATTTTCAGGAAAGTGGCAGTTTCTGGAGGAAGTCCCACCCACTCCCCAGGACAGAAAAAATAAACAAGATGAGAGAGTCCACCAGAAAACAGGTGTTCTATATTTTTCTAAGTCACATAAGCAAGTTTTTTTGTTTTGTTTTGTTTTTTGGAGTTCTTTTTTTCCCACATTTCCCAAATCAGCCCAGAATGACGTAGAAAGCCTGCATTCTGTGCCTGCTCTGGTTGCTTCTGCAGCTGTCACAGGAAGGGATTTTAACCCCTCCCAAGGCCACTTGGACAGACCAGATTCCACTCTGCTGCCTGGGGAGGGTGGGGCTCCTCATGCCTGCAGCCCTGTGCAAGCAGCAACTTCCTTCTTGGCACACAGGAGCCCTGGGATGGGCCACTGGGCTCTGAGGGCAGAACTCTGGCTGGGACAGGTGCAGCCAACTCAGGCCTCCCCTTCCCCTAGGCAGGAGGAAGAGCTGTTTGTCCTGAGCCTATGGTGCTGTATTACAGGGTCACACCTGGCTGCTTCTAAAGCCACATGGATGCCTGGGGCAACCCCCTCCTTCCTCCAGCAAGGGTCTCTCTGAGGTCCTGTCCACTCCTAATGAGCCCCATTGAAGCCAATTCCCAAATACTAGAAACCTGTCTGCTCTCAGGCCTTGGCCACCAACAGGATGGCTCCTTCCTGTCTACAAGGACCCTTAAAACAGAGCTCTGAAATAAAGTAGTGGATGCTGCTGGGCATTCCAGCTCTGTAAATGAAGCAGTGGGGCCCTGGGGAACTCAAGAAGTAAAGAGCTCCTGGGATGCAGGACCTGGTGCAGTGTGTCGATGGCACACAGGAGCCCCACACCCCCCAGCCTCTGTGGGCCTCGAGGTGGGTGTGGGTGGCTGCTGAGCACCAAGAAGGGAGCCCCTGGTGCGTGCAGATGCCCTCAGGCACCCCCAGGAGTTCCCAGGCAGTGCCGCCCTCCCCATGGCTGGAAGAGCCCAGTCAGGAGGCTCGTTCAAGGTCACTCAGCCAGTCTGTAAGGATAGCGGGCCATGCTAGAGGCTTCTCCGGAGGAAAGGGGGCCCAGCTGAAGGGCACAAGAGCGACCGGAACAGGAAGTTCAAGTTGGCCCCAGGAGGTGTGTAATGTTCCAGGTGTGAGGGGCGGGTGGCGCCAGAGAGCACAGGAATGACAGAGCGGAAGCTCACGTCCACTGGGGGTGGCGGGGGGCCAGTCACCCTACCGAGTGCTCTGGCCAGTGCTCAGGAAAGCCCTACGGCCAGCATTGTCACCTTCTCCCCGCCTTACCCAAGAGGAAGCTGAGGCTTAGTGAGGCAGAGGGACTCGCCAAGGTCACGCAGCTGGGACTTGAACCCAGGCGGTCGCAGGGCCAAGCCTGCGTTCTTGGTCCCCATCCAAGGCGGAAACAGCCCTTCCTCCCTCGTGCCTCCCCCCTCTCCCTGCCCTTTACTCCCCAGCTCCTCCTCACAAAAGCCACACTCTGGCCCCACCACACACACCCACCCCCTGGCGTCTCCCGCAGGCCCCCTCTCTCTGTGCTCTTGTGTCTTTCCTGTTTCCTGCACGTCACACTGCATTGGTTTTTGTCCACTTGTTCAAGTTCCACCGGCCTCTAGCTTCAGGGAGCGCCCTGAAGGCCCAAGGAAGTTGGGCCTCAGGCCTTTCTGTGCAAGGTGAAGCAGGGGCTGGATGCATTGTATTAATTTGCATTGTTGGTGCAAATTAACACAATGGATTGACTGACTGACTGGGATAAGGAAGGGAGTAAGTGGGTCCCAGCCCCATCCTGTCCAAATAAGCTCTACCACTTTTAGTGCTTACTACAGAGGCTTCTAGGGCCTTCCTGAAGGCTAGTAGCACTAGTCAACACCCTGCTTTGTCCATGATGCAGCCCTATGGCTTCAATAAACACACACTTGCATGTGTGTGCACACACATACACTTATGCACACTTCTGATGGACCCAAGACCAAAGCCAAAGGAAAGAGTGTCCTCTCTCTGCTCTGTTAATTTGCTTAGAGAAATGAATTCTAAGCACAAAGGACTGGGCCCTGGCAGGATGGATGTGTCACTAACACCAGTGCGGTTTGCTTGCCCACACAGCAGCACCTAACTCCCGCTGCCATGTGAGACACGTCCAGAGTTGCCCAAGTCACCCACTCCTCCCCGGGAACCCTTCAGGGAGCCCTGGTGCTCTGGGCCCTGCAGGTCAGGACAGAGGAATCCTTCCCAGGGCAACCACACAAGACAGGTCCTCGGAATTATTCTGGACAGTCACTAGTAATTGCATAAGCTGATCAATTATTTCTGCATCGCTGAGTGGCCCCCAGAAGGCTGCAGACTCAGCCAGCTTTTGAAGTCTTCTAGGACAATCTAAGCAGTGGATTCCAATCTGCCCCTCCCGGGTGAGGTCCTCGTTGCAAGCACTGTGAACATCTGGGACTTAGACAGATTAGTAGCCAGGGGCTGTGCCCTAAAAACCTCCAAGCCCAGCAGGTTTGTTCCCCCATTCTGTGACGGTGTGTCATTTACTCTGGGGTCCTGATAGCCACCTGCCCAGACCAAAGACTAAGGCAGGGCCTGCCGGTGGGTTCCAGTTCCAGTGAGTAGAGAGGCTCAGCCTCCCCGAATGTCACTGATCTCTTCATACTTTCTCTCTGTCTCAGGGGAGAGGACTGCGGCACCCACATCAGCAAACACTGACGTATACAGAAGTGGTTTGATGGGACACAGGGGTGCCAGGAACCTCACACTTCAGCAGACACTCTGGGGAGGGGGTATAAGCCAGACCCTCACTCCCCACAGCTGGTCCTTCCTTGCCATCTGCCTGGGACCTTTAATCAGGGATGACATATTTCTAGAGCAGGCAGCACTCACAGGGTCACCTCCTACGTGGGCTTAGGGGGCCCACAGAAGGAGGGAAGGGAAGTGCCACACATCCAGGCATCGCTATCACTTCCTCCCAACCAAAGCAAACACACCAGATGTTGGGGGGATGCCGTACACGCTGAGGACTGCTGGAGCCACCAAGACCCCTGGCTCATCTGTAATACAGCTGGTCAGGGCCTGTGCAGGGTTGGCCAGGGTCACACACAGCCCACTCATATGGATGCTTCCCATCCTCCCTCTCTAGATAACGCACCACTTGCTGCTAACTCGTACTACTTAGGTACTCAACACTTTAGGTACTAAGCCGTTTTCTCCCACCTTCCCCATAATCCTGTGAGGCCCATTCATCAGATGAGGCAACAAAGGCCGAAGAAACTGCAGGATTTGCTGCAACCCTCATAGCTGGTAAACTGGCAGAGCAGATTCGATCTAGACTTTCTGGTACAAAGCCAGTAGCCCAAGACTGCGAGTTCGGTCTTTGCCCCTTGTTCCACCTCCCCATCCCTTCTCCTGCCCTCTGTCTCGGGGACCCAGGTACTGACCAGCTTTCCAATTTCCCCCTTTCCCTCAGGACCCTTCAATTGTTCTGCTCATCTGGATAAAAAAAAAAAAAATTCCAATCAAAGCATTCATTATCTTTGAGCAGTTGATTTTACAGTAGTTCTTGCAGGACTCTCAAATATGAGGGCGATATAAATAAAATCATTTAAATTGCCTGATATTAAACATTTCTGACCCCAAAAAGCAAAAAGCCTTTTAAGTGATGGTTACATTGATACAAGAGTCACAATGACAGGTTTCAAAGATGAAAGTAATGGGTCAGAAAATAGAACAGTAGAGAAAACACAGATGAAAGGCAAATAACCCCATTTGAAAATCCAAAGCTTTCATTTTTCGCTTGGAAAAGAATTGCCAAAAGCACTATTCTGTGTTTAAAAGATCATGATGAAAGCCATGCACACTGGGCACTTACTAGATTTCTTATTCTCTAATTACGTGGTCCTCCTGTCATCAGTGCTATGGCTTTAGTGGCTCCATGTCCTGGCCTGCTGCTCCCAGAGCTAGCCTGTGCCATCACCACTTACACCTGTCACACAGGTGCCGAGAGCATCTATAGACCCTGGTGCCACCAGGGGGCCTAGACTGGGTCCCAAGGAGCCCAACTCCCTGTCCACATGGTTATAGCCCTGCCAAATACCCACCAAGCTCCCAGCCAAGCAAGCTCAAGCTTTCCATTCAAACAGCACATCGTATCAAATGCTTCACCAATACAAACAGGCATTTTATCTACAGCACGACTCGAGGACACAGCAACGGCACACATCACAACCTCGGCTCTTTGGTTACTCTTTCTCATGGCCTAAGCCCATCCTTGCACTCCCTCAAAGTTGAGCAGCGCCCAAATTTCTAACTCACCTTCTGCCTTCTTGTGAGGACTCCTTCTGTGGCTTCACCACACGGCAAGACATGTAGGGTCTTTTATCTGCTTCACCTGTACCATCCAAATGTTACCATGACTGGTTTGCACTGGATTAAAGAGAAGCCTGCCACTGCTGCCTGTCACTTCTCTGGGTGCACACAGTCCTTCCGGGGACCAGTGGAGGGAGGAGCCTCTCTGTCATACACTCCTTATATGTGCCTGTCAGCCTCATTCTTCTGATCAAAACAGGTCATCCTCTGCTTTGCTCCCTAACTTCAGCTCTTTGAACTTGAGAGCACAGTGTGTTTGTTGATTGATAGGTGTTTACTTCCGGTTGTCACTCTTAGGAATGCCAGCAGCTTTTACCCCTGGCTCCAACACAGACATGCTCTTAGTCCTAATGCAGGTTAAAGATTTTCAAAAATCACATCTATGGAATTTCATGAAGTTCCACTTGAACAGTGGAAATGGTTTTAAATGGCAAATTAAAGTGATCCATGAAATAAAGAGTATTGGAAATGCTTGACATATGGAGTTGCCCTGGTGAGAAGAGACAAAGATCAATGTTCAGCTCACTGCGTAAGGTATGGTGTTGGGCTCAAGAGAATGCGGTGAGCTGGGAGTAGGGAGGTGAAGCATTCACAGGCCTCAGCAGGCACCGGGCAGGACATAAGGCTATCTGAAGCTACAGGATCGTGGCCCCTGGCACCAGGCGTTTCTAATTAGCACAGAAGCGGAGGAAATCTAGAAGTTCTCTGAAATTCCATGGAGCACCATCTGCTGATCATTCCCTGCCTCATCCAAAAGAGGAAGATTTACTTTTCCCTAGACTAACAGATGTCAGGGCTAGCGTCATTATGCTGGTACTAAACTCGGTTGTGATTTCACTGTGAAGCCCTAGCTACCTGATTTATTAGGTTATATAAGATTGTTTGGAAAAATCTTACCAGTCGTGAGGTATCTATCTATCCATCTCAGTGTTTTGTCTACAGTGGAACATTTTAGGGAGCATTTGGCAACCTTCTGCCTCGTTAACCTAAAAAGGTTCTGTAAACTCCCCGGGTACTTTAGTGTCATGTAAGGTAGACTAATGCATTCCATCTTGTATAGTACGCGTACATTCTCTACGTAGTTGTTGGACCTTGGACAAGCTACTTAGCTGTCAGGTTTCCCATCTGTAAGATTCAAGTGATCAATAGACCACATGATTTCCAAGGCTCTAGAGTTATTTTAGATACTTTATTTGTTGTCTTGACCAACTAGAAACAGGAGAGGAACAGGCTGCAAAAACAGAAAATCTCTTCCAGTTTATACTGAGTGGGTCAGAACCAATCAGTTCATATGTGGTTTGAGTTACTTTACCCTAAACACATCATGACTATCTACCTTGAAGGCCATCTTCGATTTTCCTGCCCATTCCTATGGCCCTGTAAGACTTTCTGTTGTCACAGCTTGCTAAGTGCTTTACCTCCTGAAATGTGTAGTTTCTTTCTCTCTTTCTGCATCAGGTACAGCTCCTCTGTGGAAGTTACTGAAATCACTAAGTGAGGTTGCTTTCCACATCCAGGGTACTGTCCTAATTGCTGCACCTGCCTTATTCTAATTAAAGACCATTGCAATTTTCAAAGCCCTTGTTGACATGGTGATCTTGTCTGACTCCTCAGGACAAGCTCATCTTCTATGGAGTAATTTATTATACAACATTCCCACCCATGTGTTCCTAATACACTTTACCATGACATCTCATCAAATTCCTTCTGAGAGTTAAAAAAATTCCATTGCAACTTTATACAAATGTTTACTTACCCTGAGAAAAAAATCTGGTAGATCAGTGCAGCATGAATCCAATGTGGGGGATTAGAGCTGAAATAGACCTCGGTGGTCATCTGTCCCACCCAGCCCTGACCATGAGCGCTTGTTCACAGTGACCAAAAAGTCCATGTCGCTCGGGAGTTTCCTGGCTCTGCCTGGTAGCTTCTCCTGGTCACCTTGCACGAGCACTTTTCTCTTGCTTCAGAGCTACCCTTTGCTCAATTTGGCCACTTCTACCATGCAGAGTTTGTGACCTGGTGCCAGGACTTCTTGGGCTCCACGCAGCTGTAATAGAGCCCCTTAGTCCCCCCACCAGCCAGCAATTTGCTCTGTCCTTTTCCTCCTAATTAATGTCTACATCTAGTTAGAGTGGCCCATGCTCAAGCAGTGTAACTGAGTCATGGATACATTGTGTTTTCTTCTGGAACCTTCCCCTCCTGCCCAGACCTGATTTATTGGGGTTTACTCGATGCTGTGTGGTGATTTCACCATCAGGGCAGCCTTGTATCAAATCCAGCTCACCACTTATAAGACCTCAGCTCCAGGACGTGTGGCCAGGTTTAGTGTTCACAGTGAGAGTCAGGGACCAGACAGTGGTGAAGAGCTGGGGTACTGGGGTGAGCCAGAAGTGCTCTTAGCCTGAAGCTTCCTGAACTCTGGGTTCTAAGACTATAGAATAAGAATAATAGGGCCCACTTCCCAAAATGTTGTGAAGATTAATTGAAATAATGCAATACTGTAAGTAAATGCTCCGACTCTGGTAAGAGCCTAGTGAGTCCTTATTCATTAATCACCCAAACCTTGGGACAGGCAAGCCCCTGATATCACCCCATTGTGTGGGCAACTCGCTGGGCTCAAAAGAGATTATGAGAATGAGTCACGGCGGAAGCAGGAGTTCCACCCCAGTCCTGAGGGGTCAGAGGCTCTGAGAACAGGGCCCAGCAAGCCAGGATTTAACAAGCCCTCAGGAGATTCTGATGACTCTCAAGCTGGAGAAGCACTACTCTGTGGAATCATAATTCATCTTTTGATCTAAGTCTTCCATCACTCCTGAGATGGGCAATCCACAAACCCCACTGTGATCCCCATGTGAATTCACCTCCCCCTCCCTGAGCCATTCCCACAGGACATCTAGTTAGCACACACCCATACTGTCCCCACACTAAGCACAGGACGATCGGGGTGTCAGTAAATAACACCAGGCCTGTGGCTCTCCCATTCCAAAGACAGCCCCACTGACAAGCACAGCATGACAAAGCCACCACCCAGCTCCATGGGGCACGAGTGGCTGGTGATATCTTTATCCCACTGAGGTTTGTGAGCCTTTCAATCCAGCTCCAGTACTGGTTTCTTTTCTTCCTGTGAACCTTGGATTCTGCCTGGCAGAGCCTGCACCTCTTGCTCACTTATTTGCTCAGCTGCTTTCATTCCTGCCAAGGTATTTACCTAATGTATCTCAACTTTGCCACCCAAGATTAGCTGCTCACTCTGGGAAGGTAACAGCCAAAAATGATAAGCATTAAACACTGACTCACATGGTTCTGGTTTTTCTTCCAGTTACTCAGAAGGGTTCGAGGGAAAATTGCACCCTCTTGGTGCACCAAAGTCACAACCTTGGACAGATCATTGAATATCAAAGAGAGAGCAGAGTCTCAGCTTTTCTGACCCTCACAAGGGACATATGTTATGGACAGAGGATTTGGCTTAGGCCCGGGACCACAGTGAGGCTTTTTGCTTCTTTTTCTTTTGTTTCTTTCTCTTTTTTTTTTTTGGTACTGGTAATTGAACTCCACTGAGCTACATCCCCGGCCCTTTGCTTCATCTTTAACATGAAGATCACCAGCTTTCAGAAAGGGTTACCCCAACTAGCCCATATGGCTCAGGCAAGGGGACTGAAAAGTAGGGGTCACCTCATTCACCAGTCACCAGCAAAGTGGGCAGAAGAGAGAATAGGGGACCTCCTGGCCTGCCCTCAAGAAGGCTTGGCCCCTAGGCTTACACTTACATCTCAGGGCACAGGTGGACCATGGCTTTGCAGGGACCCATTCAGTGACATGCCCTTTCCATCTAGTGAAAAGGTGGTCCGGTGGGTTCCAGTTAGTGACCACCAGGGCTCCTGCAGAAGCCACAAAAGAGGGATGGAGGACAGACAGGACCCCCCACCCTCCTGGGCTCTGCACTCCTGTGGGCCCAGGACAAGTCCCCTCTGTGCTGGGCAAAACCAGATTTCATGGGATCTGAAGCTGAGGCAGTTTGGGAGGATGAATAGGGGATGTTCTTCCTAAGAAAAATTATACAAAATTAAGTGTCAAAGTATAAAAGTTGTCTTGGAGGGGAAGGGCTAAAGTTTAAACTTAATTTGGTGCAGAGTGAATTTATCTCTCCAGACTCTATCTTTCCAAGACTGTACTGGGTTCTGGATTTTTTTTTTTTTGGTACCGGGGATCAAACTCAGGACCTTGGGCTTGCAAGGCAGGTACAGCACCACTGAGATAAATCCCTGGCCTGGATTTTTTTATATAGTTTTTTTTTAATAGAATTGAGGCATGGTAGGATTTTCTGGGGGGGATTATAACTGTTTGAGATTCATGCAAGCCTTAGACCTACCCAGTGATCTAAGGTCTAGGCCAAAGATGGTGAGCAGCTGTCAGCGCAAATAAGAATCCACCCTTTCAGGAATGGCTGCTTGCAGAGACAGACTGTAAGATAATCAGATGCTGCTATCCATCAGTCATGTCTGTCCTGGCCTTGGGAGAAGGCAGGAGCAATCTGAATGCTACATACATCCTAATGATGGAGGGGACAGAAAATAGAAATTTGCCCACATAAAAAATCTAGAGTCAATGCTCCAAAAATGTGGCTCCGCTGAAGGAATAATTAAACGAAACAGAAATGTATGACCGTCCAGCCTTCATTGTGTAGAGACTTAGAAAGGGAGGTCACAGAGGTCTGCAGTGGGCCCAACCACATTCCCTCATCCGAATGCCTCTTGGTCCCACTGAAACACCCCAAGGGCAGAGTTCCTGTCGTGCACCTCCACCTGTGACTTTCCTCATGCCTTGTCAGGCCTCTCTGGCCCAGCTGCGACCTTTCCAAACTTGCAGAGCATAATCGCACTCCCTGACCTCACAGACCTCACACATGCTCAGCCTTTCCAACATTTACTGAACACCTACTCTGCTCTTTGTATCTGCAGACGAAAAAAGGATCCAACCCCTTCCCTCATAGGGCTCATGGCGTGTGAAGGAGGAAAAGCACATCCCTAAATAACTGCAATTAAATGACAAATTAGGAACTCTAAAAGTTACAAATTTAAAATATAATTAAATCATCATCATTATTTAAATTAGAAATAATAAGACCAACTAAGTGTCAGGAACAGATCTTGGCATTTTACTTACACGCTGGTTTTCACATCATCTTTACACCAGCCCCATGAGGTTCACAAAGCATTCACCTCCACTTTACAATGAAAGAAGTGAGGCTTGGGACGTTTAAGCAACTCACAGGTCGGTGGAGATATCAGGGTGCACACCCAGATATGGCTGCTGATGAGACGCAGAGGAAGTGGTCCGACAGAGAAAAGGACAGGTTTGTGGTAACTTTGTAACCACCGCCACCACCTCTCCCAGTAACACTGGCAGAGGGAAGCTGGACAGCAGGGAATGCAGGAGCACAGTTAGCAGCAACATCACACACGCACACCAAGGCCTCCCCCGAGGTTGTAGGCTCAGAGCAGGGAAGGCCACGGGGCCCAGGGTTCCTGCATTTCCTGTGTTCCTTCTTCTGGAGTGGGTTTCCTGTCACCAGAGAGAGGCAGAGGGATGATGATGAGAAATCTGAGATCGGCCAGGGAACCAGGAAATGCTTTGTCTAAAAATACGTGAAAGGAAAAGAGTCATTGAAGGTATGAGGAGCCCCCCACCATGGTGAAGAAAACAATGAGACCCCCTGGAGGTGGACAGCAGTGTCCCCACCCACTTCCTGTCCAGCCAGGGACACGGACAAAATGACAACCCATAGCCAGAGCCCCAGGGAGGGGCCTGGGGACGGGATCTGGGATGCAGCAGGGAAGTGGGAGGGAGGGAAGAAACCGTTCCACTTTGTATTTCTCTTGCATCAGCTGGTCCTGTGTTGAATTTGGTCTGTATTTCCTGTGTGCTTACTACACGGCACGTCAGGGCTTCACAGACATCATATACTGAAATCCTTCAACTATCACAGAGAAGGAAGAAAGTGGGCCTGAGAGTCTGGACAGCACGTCCTAGGTCACACCACTGGCAAGGGACAAAGACACGTCCGTGCCAGCCTCCTGACCCACACTGAGTCCAGTGACCCAGGTCACCTGCAGGACAGTCCAAAGCCTGACCGTGCCCTCCTGGGTAGATCAGGACTGTTGGCTTTTATTATCCTGGCAGACTACAGTGGTTTCCTATCCTTGATCTTACGTTGAAACAAAGCTGGTAGAGGAAGCACGCTATGATTTTTCTTTATGACCCATTGCCAGCGGAGCCTTGTTGCAGCCACACCGGATGTAGCTGGAAAGGTGTTCGCTTGGAGTAGGAGGATCACACACTAAGCCACATGATCCAGAGTCCTCTGCAAGGATTGCAAAGGCAATGGCCTTTCTCCACGTCCAGGGACTGGGGCAGAGGAAGAGAGGACAGTTCCTT